AATTTGGTGTCGTCTGCAAACTTGATGATCATGCCTTCTAACCCTTCATCTAAGTCATTAATAAAGATGTCATAGGTTCATCCCATCCCACCAGTACTGCCACTGCTAGAAATGACTCGAAGTCATTTAAACCGGTGGCTATTAATTGCTGGGTTTTAGTCTGAACTTTTAAAAGCACTTACCAAGTACCTGTATATACTCGAGTATAAGCCGACCCGAATATAAGCCGAGGCACCTAATTCTACCGCAAAAAAAACCTGGGAAAACGTTTTGGCTCGAGAATAAGCCAAGGGTGGGAAATGCAGCAGCTACTGGTAAATTTCAAAATAAAAATAGATACCAATAAAATTACATGAATTGAAGCATCAGTAGGTAAATGTTTTTGAATATTTACATAGAATTGTAATTTAGGATAAGACTGTCCAACTCTGATTAAACCATTCTAACCTTCTTCAATGTAAATGTGCTTACATATGCTTCCAATAATAATAGAGTAAAATAAATAATAATAATAATAATAATAATAATAACAATAATAATAGAGTAAAATAATGGAAATGTAATAATAACAGTAATAATAAAGTAAAATAATAAATGTAATAATAATAATAATAGAGTAAAATAATATATGTAATAATAAAGTAAAGTAATAAATGTAATAATAATAATAATAATAATAACTAAAGAACTGGTGGGATCACAAGCCGGAAAAGGTTACAGAGAATGAACACGTCAAGCTACTCTGGGACTTCTGAATTCAGACAGACAGAGTTTTGGAGCACAATACTCCTGACCTCACGATCCTGTTAAAAAACAAAAGCATGGATTGTCGATGTTGCAATCCCAGGTGACAGCAGAATTGAAGAGAAACAACTGGAAAAGCTGACACGATATGAGGATTTAAAGATCCAACTGCAAAGGCTGTGGCACCAGCCAGTCAAGGTGGTCCCAGTGGTGATTGGCACACTGGGTGCAGTGCCTAAAGACCTTGACCTGCACTTGAACACAATTGGCGCTGACAAAATTACCATCTGCCAGCTGCAAAAGGCCACCTTACTGGGATCTGCACACATTACCGATACTTCACACAGTCCTAGACACTTGGGAAGTGTCCGACGTGTGATCCAATACAACAGCCAGCAGAGTGAACTTGTCTGTTGAGGACTCATCTTGTTGTGTTTCAAATAATAATAACTACAGTAAAAATAATACATGTAATAATAATAGAGTAAAATAATAAATGTAATAATAGTAATAGAGTAACATAATAAATGTAATAATAACAATAAAGCAAAATAATAAATTTAATAATAATAGAGTAAAATAATAAATGTAATAATATTAAATGGAGTAAAATAATAAATGTAATAAAATAATAATAAAGTTACATGATGCAAATGTAATAATAATAATAATAATAATAATAATAATAATAATAAATAGATTAAAATAATAAATTTAATAAAAATATTAATAAAAGCAGAGTAAAACAATAAACAACCTTGACTCAAGTATAAGCCGAGGGGGGCTTTTTCGGCCTAAAGAAAGGGCTGAAAAACTTAGCTTATACTCGAGTATATAGAGTAGTTAATCTTATTCCATCCAATAATTCCAGCATTTGGATAGTTCCTTCATAGTTCAGACTAAAACCTGGAGTAGATATAGTGTCCCACTTACACTAGAACTGTCAGCTGCTATTTCTAGAAGACCACGCCACATATTTGCGTGTGTGTGTGTGTGTGAGAGAGAGAAGAAAACAAACAGAACTGTAAAATATAACACAGAAGCAAAATGCCTTGGCTTCTGCCTTTCAGTGGCTAAAATGAGGCCACCATGTTTTTCTCTGTATTCTTCTGAGATTCAGGGCAAACTTGGAAGAAGTGCTTTCGGTTTGCTTTTTAATCATATCTGGATTATGAGTCACTTTGGGCCTCATCGTGACAGAAAGATGGGACATTAATTGCTGTGTTGTTGTCAACAGTTCAAATATTTATAGCTCACCTTAGACCTCTGGGTGGTTTGCAATAAAATTCATGGAACCTCATCAGTTTCTGGTCATTTTTCACAACTGAGTCATTTTTCTTACACCTCAAGCAGCTGCTTTTTTCCTTTGTACCTTCAGGTCATTTCTAATTTATGGTGCCCCTAAGGTGAACCTGAGTCAGTGTGATGCAGCAGTTTATGAGTTGGACTATGGCTCTGGAGACCAGAGTTGAAATCCATTCAGCCATGGAAACCCACTGGGCGCCCTGGGCAAGTCACATCTCTCAGACTCAGAAGAAACCAAAGATAAACCTCTCCAAACAAATCTTGTTCAGGAAACCCCATAATAGTTTCACTTTAGGGCAGCATTTCTCAACCTGAGGGTTGGGTCCCCTGAAGGGGTCACAAGTGGGTATCAGAGAAGTCATCAAAGACCATCTGTTGGTCATGGGGATTCTGTGTGGGAAGTTTGGCCCAAGTATATTGTTGGTTCAGAATGCGCTTTGATTTTAAGTGAACTATAAATCCCAGCAACTAAAACTCCCAAATGTCAAGCTCTATTTTTCCTAAATTCCACCCGTGTTTTCATTTGGACATACTGAGTATTTGTGCCAAATTTGGTCCAGATCCATCATTGTTTGAATCCACAGTGCTCTCTGGATGTATGTAAACTACAAGTCCAAAACTCAAGGTCAATGTCCACCAAATCCTTCCAGTATTTTCTGTTGGTCGTGAGATTTCTGTATACCAAGTTTGGTTCAATTCCATCGTTGGTGGAGTTCAGAATGCTCTTTGATTGTAGGTGAACCATAAATCCCAGCAACTACAGCTCCCAAATGGCAAAATCAATCCCCCTGAACACCACTAGTATTCAAATTTGGGCATATCGGGTATTTGTGCTAAATTTGGTCCAGTGAATGAAAATACATCCTGCATATCGGATATTTACATTGTGATTCATACAGTTATGAAGTAGCAACAAAAATAGTGTTATGGTTGGGGGTCACCACAGTATGAGGAACTGTATTAAGGGGTCGCAGCATTGGGAAGGGTGAGAACTACTGCCTTAGGGCCTCTATAAGTCAGAATTACTTGAAGACACACAACAACAGCAAAGGTGGACCTGTCATAGGGTTTTCTTGGCAAGATTTCATCAAAAGGATGCTTACCACTCCCTTCTGAAGATGAGAGAGTGTGACTTGCTCAGGATCACTCAGTGGGTTTCTATGGCTGAATGAGGATATGAACCCTGATTTCCCAGAGTCCTAATCCACCATGCAAGCCAGTACAGTGCATTGGGGAAATGCTTACTAAGTACTTTCTGCTTGTTCTTTGTTGTCCCCCTCTAGGGAGCTGATGGAGGGCTCCAGCCGTTCCTCTGTCTCACCCTTCATGCCTTTCTCCTGGTTTACAGACAGCGGGAAAGGGTCTGCCTCCTCGGGCAGCACAGCTTCACCCACCTCTTCCCCCAAGAACGAGGCCTTCAGCCGCAAGAAATCTGCCTCACAGGTTACAAATCCATCTTGTGGGGTTACACATCTCTCAACTGGGGAATGGTCTGGCAGCTTTCCTTATTACATTATTTTTATTTATGCTGTGAATTTCACAGTAGCAATATTTGCAATGGGGCATCGAACTGGGAATGAGAAAGTAGGCTGGATAGCAACACTATTTTTCTACATTCACCTCAAAGTTAAATATATGCACAACTGTATTACAAATGATAGACAACTTGCTGTCACCATATGTCCCATGATGCCTAATTTGGATATAATTTCTACATGTTAAAATGCTGACATCTTTTCCATCTGCCTCATAAAGTCTCTTGTAAATGTTCATTCATGTGCATCTATGTGCACTCTCTTTCTCTGCCTGTCTCTTATAGCTTCCTTTGCTTCCTCCCACCACAAAGTGCACTGTTGCAGCTACATGTGCCCCCCAATTCTGTTTTCACACCCAAGACCCTCCCACTCCCAGTTAAATTGGTAGCTCCAAGTCAGCGTTTCTCAACCTGGGGGTTGGGACCCCTGGGAGAGTCATGAGGGGAGTGTCAGAGGGGTCGCCAAAGACCATCAGAAAACACAGTATTTTCTGTTGGTCATGGGGGTTCTGCATGGGAAGTTTGGCCCAATACTATCGTTGGTGGGGTTCAGAGTGCTCTTTGATTGTAGGTGAACTATAAATCCCAGCCACTACAACTCTCAAATGTCAAGGTCTATTTTCCCCATACTCCACCAGTGTTCAGATTTGGGCATATTGAGTATGCATGCCAAGTTTGGTCCAGATCCATCATTGTTTGAGTCAACAGTGCTCTTGATGTAAGTGAACTACAACCCCCAAACTCAAGGTCAATGCCCACCAAACCCAGTATTTTCTATTAGTCATGGGAGTTCTCTGTTCCAAGTTTGGTTCAATTGCATCCTTGATTGAGTTCAGAATGCTCTTTGATTGTAGGTGAACTATAAATCCCAGCAACTACAACTCCAAAATGACAAAATCAATCTCCCCAAACCCCACCAGATATTTGTCCCAAATTTGGTCCAGTGAGTCAAAATACCTCCTGCATATCAGATATTTAAACTACAATTCATAACAGTAGCAAAATTCCAGTTATGAAGTAGCAATGAAAATAATTTATCGTTGGGGGTCACCACAATATGAGGAATTGTATTAAGGTGTGACGACATTAGGAAGGTTGAGAACCACTCCTCTAAAAGGTGTAGTCATGAGAGGGGGGATTGGGGCATGTCCCCCAGTCAATGTTCTGCCCCCTATAAAATTGGATGATGAATAGATAGATAGATAGATAGATAGATGAGACAGACAGACAGCTCTCAAAGCCGACTTCCTGCCATTAGTGGCTTGAATTCAGTGTAGGGGAGAGTCGAGATTAAATTTTATAAGTTTGGGCAATTTTCTGCTCTGAAACCCACATAAGCTGCTCACTGTTGCCCTGTACCTCAGCCTTCTTCTCCTTCTTCTGTGTCCATGACTCACCCATTACTTCTGGCTTCTGGAGAGTAACAAACATAAAAGAAGATGCCCTTTAGAGATCACCAGCCATTTCTCTAGGACACCTGGCAGGTGCTATTTTCATGGCACTGCTGCTGTCAGCAATGTGAGGTAATGATGAGAGGAGGAAAGTTGCCAAATTGTAGAATTTGGCACAATTCAATGGCAAATAAAAGACAATATAAGAAATGTACTGGACATAATAGAATATTTTGGGGGGGAAAAAACAACCAAAAAGAATTGGTCTTAGTCTTCCTGGATGTGGAAAAAGCCTTTGATAGTATAAATTGGGACTTTATATTTTTACTACTAAAAGAAATAGATTTTGGTTTTTATTTCACAAATGCAATTAGAGCAATATATAACCTACAAGAGGCAACTATTGTGATAAATGGCCAGGAAACCAAAAGTTTTAAGATTAATAAAGGGACATGGCAAGGATGCCCACCATCTCCATTATTATTTATACTAGGATTAGAGATATTGCTAAATATCATACGAAAAGATAATGAAAGAATTGGGACTAAAATAAGAAAAGAGTTATAAAATAAGAGCTTTTGTAGATGATTTAGTATACATAGTAGAAGACCCGATACACAACATACAAAATGGATTTTAAAAATTGAAGAATTTGGCAAAGAATCTTCCTTGTTCTTTTACAGGAATCCACCTTGAGCGATGACTCCACTCCTCCCAGCAGTAGTCCGAAGACTCTGAGTACTGCTCCACCCGAGGCCAAGTATTCCTATCCCTATCACACACTGTCACAGTCATCTGATGAAGTAAGTCCCCTGGCCAAACAAAGACACATTTAGGTTCATCTGTGTAGACCTGCAAGGATCTTTCTCCAGTTGCATTTTTTGCTTACTGCAGGCTAGAAATGTCTTGCAAGTTGAAAATCTTTCAGATAGAGCTTGGAATACTTTCTCTTTTTGGACAGTGGTCCTTTTGAGAGGTTGTTGGGGGGGTCGGGGTTCAGTCTTAACCAAGGCTTAGTAGTTGAATCTTGTGGATTAATAGTAAAGGGATGAAATAATATGATCATATTATTTTGTATTCTCTATCTACCGCCCCTTTCACAACTTCATAATCCTCTCTGAAGTTCCTGGATGAGCCTTTGAGTACAGCTTCAACCTGGAGCAGCCAAAAAGTGGGCCAGTGGCTGGAGAGCTTGAACTTGGAGCAGTACATGGCTGAGTTTGCTGCTCAGGAGGTGGATGGCCAACAGTTGCTACTCTTGGATGGGACCAAGCTAAAGGTAAGGTGGGAGCAGGGAAGCGATAAAATCTCCATACTGTCCACAGACCATTGTGGTTGTGTGCCTTCAAGTTGTTTCTGATTTACAGACACCTTAGGATAAAACCTATCACAGGGGTTTGTGGAGCTGAGGGTCTGTGACTTGCCCAGCATCACATAGTGGGTTTTCGTGGCTGAGTGGAGATTTGATCCCTTTTCTCTAGACATAGTCCAGCACTCAAGCCACCATGTTGTATTGGCTGAAATAGTCCTGCTTTGCAAATTACTATGAGGTCACATCTTCTCCAGCTTCTGGAGCCTGAAGAGGTGAACATTATTTTTATATTACTCACAATGCATTTAGCTCTGAAGTGACAAGAGCCTTGCGGATAGATCAAGCTCAATATATAAACACAGAGTTTGTGATCAAATATTTGATCACCTTGTATGAAATCTATAAAAGGAGTCCATGTGGAAGTCGACCCAAAGAGAGAACCTGAAGAACTGAACTTCAGTCAAGGAACTCTAGGGATGGTGATTTTATACCAAAGTGAACAATGTGAAACTCTTAAAAGTCCCCTTTTAAGAACCTAAAGGTAAAGGTTTCCTCTTGACATTAAGTCTAGTTGTGTCTGACTCGGGGGTGGTGTTCATCTCCATTTCTAAGCCAAAGAGACGGCTTTGTCAGTAGATGCCTCCAAAGTCATGTGGCCAGCATGACTACATGAAGCATTGTTACCTTCCCACCATAATGGTTCCTACTGATCTATTCATATTTGCATGTTTTTGAACTGCTAGGTTGGCAGAAGCTGGGGATAATAGTGGGAGCTTCCCCACTCCCCGGATTTGAATGGCCGACCTTTAAGTCAGCAAGTTCAGCAGCTCAGCGGTTTAACCCGCTGCACCACCAGGGGCTCGTTAAGGCCCTACTGCTGTCTTAATTGACAGTGAAAAGGGTGGCAAACATCTATATCTAGGATGGGAATCACCAGGCCCTCCAAATGTTATTGGGCTACAGCTCCAGTACTCTTTACCATTTGCTATGCCTTCTGGGGGCACGATTCCCACTGTTTTAAATATTTTATAGCCAACGGAGAAGATATAATACTGACTCTGATATTGACTGACTACTGATTCTGGGCTATGGTTAATCGGAGGGTAAATACTATTGTAAATACAGGTTGAGTCTCTCTTATCTGCAAATCCAAAACATGAAATACTCAAAAACTTGAAATATGTCCTTGGTTGTTGCGTATTATGTTTGTTTTATTATTGTTATAATGTTGTCTTATGCAGTTTTATATTATTATTTTTATATGCTATGATTTTAACTCTGTGTGACTGGGCTTGGCCCCATGTAAGCTGCCCTGTGTCCCTGTGGGGAGATGGAGGTGGGATATAAAAAATAAAATTATTACAACCCAGAACTGTTTGCTGCCAGTCACCCATATCTGCCTTTGGGGGAAAGGGAGCTAGTCACACTCCCAGTGCCTATTAATTGGAAAAGACTTGAAGGCATATAACAATAATAAATAATCATTCTTCTTACATAGTGTGCATATGTATATATCGCTAACAGGACCCAAAGCTGAGCCTCTCATATGCTTTCTATAAGCGTGTTCTTGTAAATGGAACATAGATCTTTCAAGTTAGTTTCATCCATTCCACATCCTCCCCAATAGACTTCAGGCAACAATGTGATCTAGCTTTAGAAGTTCTACAATCTGGGCCTCAGAACTGGCTTTGATCTATATGTGTGTCTTCTTGATGGGAAAACCCATGGGCACCAAAGCCCCTGGTGTAATCCAGCCCATGGAGGGCTTGGTGTGTGATAATCTTTGTTCTCCACTGCTTCCTACTTGACAATTTGTAGTCAGGGATTCAACCTGGAATGTTCTAGGCACAAAAAACGTGCTCTACCACTGAGCTGTGGACCAACCAAAATGGGGAGAGAGGAATGCCTGAGGGATAGAGACTCCTAAATGCGCCTAATTCTCTTCCTTCCACCCTTCAGGCTCTTGGCGTCAGCAATTCCCATGATCGATCTCTTCTGAAGAGGAAGCTGAAGGAGCTGAATGCAGCTGTTGAGAAGGAGAGGAAAGCTCAGGAAAAGGTGGAGAAGCAGAAGGAGAAGCAGAAGAAAAAAGAACAGGAACAGAAGAAAAGTTAGATGGGGACAAGCATTTCCCAGTGCCCGTGGCTTACAGCCTTCCCCCCTTCACCCATGGAGCATCTCTAGGGTGAGAGGGGATGGTACGGTCTACAGCCAGGAAAGGGTGGGTGGGGGGAATAGGAGGCAGGCCAGAGCCTGCGGAAGGTTATGGGTTTGGGTGGGACATATACAGCAAGGCTGAGCTTGCTGTGGGGCCAGGCGTGGCGGAGATTGCAGCAGGAGCTGAACACCACCCAGAACAACTGGATAGACTGCAAGGACAGAGCGGGTGATGGCTCTGCAAAATGGCGCCCCTTGCCCTGCAGCGCCAGGATTGTTAAGCAGCACTCTTGGTGGCCCAGCAAGCCTTTCCCGCTCCCCTCTTCCTGGCGTGTTGTGCAGAAGGTGGTAGTGAAGTTGTACACTGATGCTACTCCTTGTGAACCCCTTCAGACCACTCCTCTGGACTTCCCTTTCAATCCTCTAGATGATGCCATTCAGCTCGAAAGGCCTAGATGTATTCACCTGTGTGCCAATTACGTGTCCCTTCACACTGTCCCATTCCTACAAGCCACAGCGGGGTGGGGTGGGTGGGTGGGAACCACAGCTGCCTCACAAAACACAGCCCACAGAGACACAAGCACACAAACACATGTGCGTGTGCGGACCCACAGTGTTGTTCACCAGAACTTCATCCGCTCCTCTCCGCCACTTCCCTCCCAAATAGATTCTGCATCAGGTGTCGCCTCTTCCAGACCTACCTGTTGGGGGAGCTGGGCGGAAGGGAGAGGGTCGGCTGGCTGGCTACCTGTAGCTGAGATGAGAAGAACTATATGTGTGTGAGAAAGACAGAGCTGCAGATGTTTGATGATACACAGCAACAAATCACAATGGAATAAAAAGCAGTTTGAAATCATTTCTAGAGTGCAGTTTTTGCACTGCAGGGAAAAAAGCTGGAATGTTCGAGGATATAAAGGTTTTCTCACTTCTCTATTTTTTCTCATGGATGAAAATGCATGCCAAGATCTTTTTATCTCTCTCCTTAGGGTCACATTCTATGGACAGGCTGGACACTAATGAACAAAGTCACATCCTCAAAATTAATGTATGTTTGAAGATAATGGCTGCTAGCAACCTATGATGGCGTACATTGGTCTTATGTTGTCAGAACTCACATTTCTAGCCATTGAATGGCTGTTTCTGAGACTCCCAAGTGGGGAGGGGAGAGTAGGCATGCTCAGTGCATGGCAGCATGGTGTACATGTACGGGCGAGGGAGAGCGTGCAAGGCTGGTGGGAGGCTCACAAGTCCCTTCAAGGCAGCGGGGAAAGCGCCCGTGGGACATGGGACTGAGAGTGGCCCAGCAGCATCCATCATTGTTTGAATCCACAGGGGTCTCTGGATGTAGGTGAACTACATCTCCAAAACTGAAGGTCAATGCCCACCAAACCCTTCCAGTATTTTCTGTTTGTCATGGGAGTTGTGTGTGCCAAGACTGGTTCAATTCCATTCTTAGTGGAGTTCAGAATGCTCTTTTATTGTAGGTAAACTACAAATCCCAGCAACTACAACTCTCAAATGACAAAATCACCCCCCCCCCCAACCCCATCAGTATTCAAATTTGGGTGTATCGGGTATTTGTGTCAAATTTGATCCAGTGAATACATTCACTGGATCAAATTTCAGATATTTATATTACGATTCATAACAGTAGCAAAATTAGTTATGAAGTATCAAGGAAAATAATTTTACGGTTGGAGGGCACCACAATATGAGGAACTGTATTAAGGGGTCACAGCATTAGGAAGGTTGAGAATCACTGTTCTACCACAACCAGGACATGATCACATTGTGTGTGTGTGTGTGGGGGGGGGGGGGGGGCTTAGAATGTGGATTTGGAGAGTTGCATCTGGAGGCATAACCATAGGCAAGATCTTCCACTGTACTCTTCATAGATCAAACAATTCCCTTTATGCCATTAACAGCCTTATTCCTTCCGCCTCTGCTGAATCATACTGTTCTTCAGCTTGCTTATGAACAGACAAGGATAGGCTGCTGCCCACACAGCAAAGTGTGAAATCCAGACTCATTTATTTTTAGAGCTGGAAATGTCAGACTACAGTGTGATTGGTATGTAAGTTATTTAATATATGTTTTTGTAAAGGCTGACGTTTGATGCCCACACGATGACGTTTATAGTCACAGACTATGGTGCAGCTCAGTGTTACCAAGTTCTGAAAATAGAAACTGAAAATCACAACCAGCACTTGGGATTCTAATCACATAGGCTGGTGCAGGTTCAATCCAATTTGATCTGGAGGGAGATTTTGGATTGCATCTTCCTGCATTTTTTCCACCCAGGAAACTGTCATTCCCTCCAAGCTCAGTTAGGAATGCACTCTAATGTGATGAACGCTCCTCTTTCTTCAGCTGTAAAACAGGGTTAATTTCATACATGTGATAGTCACTGTGAAATGTGTTGCCAAAGCACTAATGTGCCAGTGAAGAATGAAGGTGCGCTGATCAAAACTCAGCCAGCGGTCAACTGGACAAGCCTTGGCACTGGCAATCACAGGAGATGCGGCAGCACCTCTCCAGGGTACATTGTGTCTCACATGCCTCCCGCTGACCTTGCAAAGTATACTTGAGGGCTCAGGAAAGGAGAAGGTCCTTCCAAGGATATTCCCAGCTTTAAAAAATAGCATTACCGTTATCTGTGCTTCAGGATAATGTGCCAGGGCTGTGTTTATTTGTAACCTTGCTACAGAGAAAGAAATGCAAGCAAAGGAAACAATATTTCAGAGACCAGGGCATCCTACGTAGTGTTGGCCGCCATCAAATAGGCTTCAATTTTGGCAAGAATATGAATAGGACACCTTTAAGATACTCTCGTCTTCAACAAACCTGCTCAAGTCCTGCAAGCTCAGGATCCAAGCAGGTCTGATTTGAGTCTATCCACCTAGTTTTTCTCTTTTCCTATTGTCTTCTACTTTATTCGATGTTTTCTAATGCTGTTTCATCAGATGACCAAAGTGCAATAACCTCAGTCTATTAATTTTGGCTTCAAGAGAGTTAGATTTGGTGGCATTCAGGCATTCCCTTCCTCCCTCAATGACCAACCCCCTGCACCACCACCTTCCCCCAAATTATTGTAGAGTCACCACCGCATAATTTCTGTGAGTTATAGAATAGAAAAAATGTCTGACTATGGTATTTTCATCGGCTGATATTTTTGGAGGACCTTGCTGGACTGCAATGGATGATGGAATCATTTCACGTCTGGCTACAGGAACATAGCCAGATCCTTCATCCATTTTCCCCATCCATCCATTAGACACAGATTGAAAGAGCAGGGCACAGTGACTCTACATTAAGCCCCGTAGGCGGTGAACAACCATCTGCAGCACAAAACTACATGCCAGGATTGGGTCATGTTGAGCCACAAGGGACTCTGGCCTATGTTACACCTTTGCTGGTAGACGTAAGCTCTGAGCATTGGTGAAGGATTGGCTTAACACCATCCCATACCTTGGCACTAAAGCAACCTCATTATTTCACCCCAAACTAGCAGAGGTGGGACAAATAATAAAAATACTGAAATGAGGTTAATTCCACAACCAATTGAGCAAACCAAACAAATAGATAGATTTCAAGTTTCATGGTTCTTTAATTATATTTTTCTTAATCAACCAGTGAGCAAAGAATACCATGGCAGGATGTGTGTCTTGAACATGTCTGAGAATACGCAGAGAATAAAAAATATATGTATTTATATGTACAGGGAGATTTTCTAGACAATTCAAGAGTATGCCGGTGGGGTGGGGGAGATGAAAGGAAGGAGAGGCTGGTTTTAGTTTGCACACCCTCTCCCCCCCGCCCAAAGAAAAAAAAAATAAGGTGCAGAGGGTGAGGTATGAAGGATTTGCTGGAAGGATAGGCATCAACTACACTTCCCATTCCAGGGGTCTCATCTGCTCGTGCATCTTTGTATTTCCACCTGCTTAGACTGATAAGCACAGAGGTCTTGGCAAGAGTCACTGGAGTGGAGAGTGTGAGGAATATAGAAAAATGGCAAGAGTATCTGGGGAAGTCTCAGAACCTCTACTACATTCAGGTTGGGAACTGTGCAGGCTATGGACAACATGCAGACCTATTTCTATGGCTCCCAAAGTTCCTGGCCTATCCTTAAGCCCACCACATTTTTATTAATATTTTCAATTTCAATGGGCTTTGGGGGCAATTTTTGCCTGCCAATCAGGCAGATAACCCCTAAAAACATGAAAGCAAGTGAAAATGCTCCATCCCCGCAAGCAACTCAGAAGCACGTACTATCCTGAATTAATTGATTATTTCCACCGCAGTCCTTCTCAAAAGGGTGACAGGAAGCAAAACAACGAGTCACCATTTTTAGAGGGATTGCAGAAGAGGAAATCATAGGTATTTGGGGTTTCTCCAGACCTCATCCTTTGGAGGGGTCTGGAGGAAAACTTGCCCCAGACTCCGCCCTCCCATTCAGTTTCCCACCACTGTAACTAGAAACTATATGATGCTTCTGCACACAGTTTGTAGGCAGTCCTTTTGCTAATACTTGAGGCACATGGCTCAGAGTCTCCTCAGAGCATACCTATACATACTTTGCCCACTTGCCCTGCTACAACTGGAGGGTAGGGAATTCTCAGCACTCCTTTCTCAATCTCCCGCCTCTAGTCCCAGAGCTTGGAAAAGTAACATTTTTCCAATGTCCCTAACAGGCCTAGACATACTGGCTTGGGGATTCTGGGAACTAGTCCACTCTTCCACGTCTGGCTCCTACCTAGCCATTTCGTCCACTTCAACTTTTCTCTCTCATTACAAGATCAGATGTGCAACATCAGCGACAGTCACAAAGGGCTTCGCCATCATAAAGCCACCCAAATAACTCCCCCACTCCTTTCATGAAAAGACTACGATCATGGAGAGAACTTCGGCTCCCTTGCTGTCCCTATGATTTTCCTGGATACATACAGCCCCCTTTGCTACAAAGAGAAGTATCACAATTGCCCATCCAACATAAATCTCACTAGCTGCTGAGCAAAGCCAGGCAAAATGGCCATTTCTGCCCATGGTGAATGAGACAATTCAGTAGGGAGGGGAAAAAACCCAAAGAAGGAAAATATCTGATTGCATCAACGTCGGCCAACGCAATTCCTTTTACACTTCACCATTACTTCCTATTGCACAATTTAAACTCTCATATTGCTGCTTCTAATTTGGGAGATTCTTCCATGTGCTGGGAAAAGTATAGAGATTATAATGCAAAGATACCCAAGCACTATTTTTTTTCTCCTGGTATCCTCCCCACAAAAAAAAAAACATTCTCTTTCACTGACTTCTCTGTACATACCCAAATTTTACATTCCATACTCTGCAACCAGGGCTTTGTGCCTATACCAGGAAATGTTAACATGATCAGCTCAAAACAAGTCAGCCTTTGCCTCCGTTTTCTTCTGTAGAATCACCAAATTCCTTTCAAAAGATTCATACCCAGCCTGTCAGGGTCGACAATCCCTCCAGTTTACGGTCAAGGATTATTAAAAGGTTGTGAGCGAACACCAGACATGACTTTTGAAAGCAAAGCAAAACATTATTTAAAAGATCCTTAGGAAGCAAATCCCAATTTGTCGGACAGGACTGGACAAGAAGGAGAGGTCCCATGCAAGACTATGGCAATATGGTGAAAAATATCTATGCTACATATTTCCCAAAATAAAACTGAGAAAGTAATCAGGCTTCTGACAGGCTGGTGCACTTGCCAGTCAAGTCGAGAAGAAATATTTGTTGAGATGTTACAACACAAGGTGGATTCGTGCTGGCGATTACTGTTTTGCCTGTCTGTCTGTCTGTCCATTCCCGCACAATGGTTTAGTGTTTCTGTTT